GGTTTCACTCCCATCCCCACAGTTTGTGAAATGTGGCTCCTTGGGACGGTGACCTGTTCCTGTTTTCTCATCTGTAAAACTAGGGACATGCAGGCTTCTGGCCAAGATGGAGGTGTAGGTAGACACACTGTGCCTTCTCACACAACCAAAATAAGGACAATTTAGAAATGAAATAACAACCAGAACTGACAGAAAATTGAACTGTATGGAAGGCAGACAACCAAGTTAAAATAGACACATTCATCCAGACTGGTAGGCGGGGCAGCTGAGCAGAGAGGGGTTGCAGCAGAGGAAGCGGTGGTACTGGGTGCACAAGGCACCCCAGGCGTGAAAGACCACAGCAGGGGGATGCTGGGCGTGCAGGTGATGGCTGGCAGGCCCTGGGCACGGGGTGGCAACAGGCAGACCCAGTGAGGTGGCGAATGGGAAGTGGGACATGGCATGTAGGGCCACTGGCTGACCACAGGGCCCCACATTTGCATGCAGATAAACCAGGCGAAAGTGGGGAGTGAGACAGACCATGCAATCCAGGGTCCCAGCGTGGGGAAATAAAGCCTCAAAAAATGGATCGAAAACACTTGTGGGGGTGGGGGCACAGGGAGAGACTCCCAGACTCACAGGAGAGTTCGTTGGAGAGACCCACATGGTTCTAGAATGTACACAAGCCCACCCACACAGGAATCAGCACCAGAAGGGCCCAGTTTGCTTGCAGGAAATACAGAAGGGACTGAAATCTGACAGAGAGCGGGCCAAGTGCCACTGTTCCCTGTTGGACTCGGACCCCACGTACAGTGTCATGATGTAGACATGTGGGTTGCCTCACCCTGGTGAACACCTAGGTCTCTGCCCCTCATATGTAATAGGTGCAACAAGACAAAAAAATGGCCCAAACGGAAGAACAGATCAAAGCTCCACAGCAAATACAGTTAAGTGACGAAGAGATAGCTAACCTATCAGATGCACAGTTCAAAACACTGGTGATCAGGATGCTCACAGAATTGGTTCAATTTCGTCGCAAATTAGATGAAAAAAATGAAGGCTACACTAAGTGAAATAAAGGAAAATGCACAGGGAACCAATAGCGATGGGAAGAAAACTGGGACTCAAATTAATGGAGTGGACCAGAGGGAAGAAAGAAACAACCAAACAGAAAAGAATAAAGAAACAAGAATTCAAAAAAATAAGGAGAGGCTTAGAAACCTCTAGGACATCTTTAAATGTTCCAACATCTGAATTATAGGGGTGTCAGAAGGAGAAAAGGAAGAGAAACAAGTGGAAAATTTATTTGAACAAATAATAAAGAACTTTCCCATTCTGGCAAAGGAAATAGACTTCCAGGAAGTCCAGGAAGCTCAGAGAGTCCCAAAGAAGTTGGACCCAAGGAGTAACACACCAAGGCACATCATCATTACATTAGCCAAGATTAAAATGAAGGAGAGAATCCCAGAAGCAGCAAGAGGTAAGGAGACAGTCACCTACAAAGGAGTTCCTATCAGACTGTCAGTGAATTTCTCAAAAGAGACCTTACAGGCTAGAAGAGGCTGGAAAGAAGTATTCCAAGTCATTAAAGGCAAGGACCTACATCCAAAATTGCTCTATCCAGCAAAGCTTTCTTTTAGAATGGAAGGGCAGATCAAGTGCTTCTCAGATAAGGTCCAGTTCAAGGAGTTCATCATCACCAAGCCCTTATTTTATGAAATGTTAAAGGGGCTTATCTAAGAAAAAGAAGGTAAAAAATATGTATAGTAAAATGACAGCAAATTCACAATTATTAACAACCACACCTGAACCACAAGTAAACTAAGAGGACAGCTAGATCAGGATTGGAACCATAGAAATGGAGATGACATGAAGGGTTAGCAACAGGAGAGTGGGAGGAGGAGGAGAAGGGGGGAGAAGGTACATAGAATAAGTAGCATAGACGGTAGGTAGAAAACAGACGGGGGGGGGGCGGCAAGAATAGTGTGGGAAATATAAAAGCTAAAGAACTTAAAATGATACATGGACATGCACTACAGGAGGGGAATGTGGGTGGGAGGGGTGTGCAGGGTGGAGGGGAGTGAAGGGGGGAAAATGGGACAACTGTAATGGCATAGCCAATAAAACATATTTTAAAAAAACTAGGGACACACAGGTGCTAATCTCGGAGGGCTCTCGTGGGGACTTAATGGGCTGTATGTGCGAAGTTCTCAGCACATGGAGGCGGGGCGGCCACAACTAGGGTTCAGTTGTTATTTTTTTAAGCAATTAAACAATTGTTTAGGTTTTTGTTCCTCTGGCTTGGTTCCTCATGTTCTGGGTTTTTGGAGGACGCGTGTGGTGGCCTTTTTTCCCTCTTTGTCTTCCCAGGGACCCCATGTCCAGCTGGCCCCCCAAACATTTGGAAGCTTACTGTATTTGGCCGAGTATAAGGTGCACATTTTTTTCCCAAACTTTTTGAGGGAAAAATAAGGGTGTGCGTTATACATGGGTAGTACTAATTCTGTATCTATTTAAATGTTTTTAATTTTTGTATTTATGTTTATATGTTGGAAGTACAACTCTAGAAAGCAACAACAGTAACCTGTATGCAAAATAATACCTTATAATATGATCATTGGTTTTGTTTCTAAATATAAATAGATTTAAAAAATTGAGTTAAAAAATGAAAACATAAGATTTTTTCCCCCCGAAAGTTGGGGTGAAAAATGTGGGTGCGCATTATACATGGCAAATTACGGTATTCACAGGTAGTGAGGCGTCTTCCACTCCCTCCCTGCTCTTCACCCCCAAATCTATTCAGGTCCAAAGTGCCACACAGTCTAACTCCCTGACCTCTCGGGTGTCTATTCTAACTGCCCTTTCCAGCCTGCCACCTTTGTCCTGGAGCTGGTGGTGGCCTGCTCACCAGCCCCCTGTTGCTGGACTAGAGCTGACCACCCTGGGGAGGTGATCTGAGAGCCTGGCTCCCTGCTCCGCATCATTCTATGTCCCCTCAGCCTTGGGATGGAGACCACACCTTCTCCCTAAGCATCTTCACCAGGCCCTCCCGTGCCCGCTGCCTGCCCCTCCAAGCCCCCTCCTTCTCTGGAGGCCCTTGGACTGCTTCGCTCACACCTCTGCGGCCGTGCACTTGACCCCACACAGGATTCCCTTTGTCCTCCTCAGGCTGGCGTCTGAGTCACCCTGCTTCACACTCAGCATGGACCCCCCTGGGTCCCCCTTCCAGGCTGGTCAGATGTCCCTCCTCTGTGCTCCCAGAGCACTCTGGGGTTACAAGCTCCTGTCCCTTCACTCCGCAGATCCTTCGCAGAGGCCTCCGCTGTGCCGGGCACTCTGTGCCGGGAAAGAGCAAGGCTGCCGGCAATCCCTGCCCCGGAAGCTCGCACGTCCCACTGCCCAGGGTGAAATGCAGGTGGCGTCTGCATTCAGATCCCGAATCTGTCACTTACTGGTGGTGCCACCTTGTACAAGCTCCTTGCCCTCTCGGTGCTTCAGTTACCCCATCTGAAAAATGGGCTTATCATACTAACTACCTGATAGTATCATCAGGAAGGTTTAAAGTGTTCGTATTTAAAAAACACTTAGAACGCCACCTGGAGCATAGTAAGTGCTTTATCAAGAAATACTCATTAAGCACACAATGGAAGCAACAATGGACTGCGAACACAGGGAGTCCTGGGTTCAGGTCCTTCCTCGGCCTGGCCCTAACCGTGTGTAATTCCGGGGAAGTCCTGGAAGCAGACTGAGCCCGAGTTTCCTCATTCCTGAACCGGAGAGACTAGTGGGCACGTCTCTCACTGAGAAGGCATCTCCTGAGGCTCCAGGAGCCACCCACGTAGCATGCCCAGCACAGGACTGTCACTGGGTGAAGACCTGGAAACCCAGCTCTTCTCATGAGGCAAAAGAAAGAGCCTGCCCTTGAGGCGCTCAGGGTCCCCGAAGTGGAATGGAAACTTTGGCCTCTGCTCACTGTGCAGATGCCTCCTCCTCCAGGAAGCTTCCCTGGCATCTATGGCCCCTCTGTCTCTGAATGGCCAGAGACCCTTGTCGTCCACCTCATGCCTCTAATGAGCTTTAGCTTTAGATCCCAATTCCTGAAACCGACCGGCTGGGTGGCACCAGGACTTCCCTCCCCTTCTCTGAGTCTCAGCATTTTTCGATCTGTAACGGGAGATAAAATCGCCCTCAGGAGGACATCACGGTGGGAGTCGCACTGGGAGACAATGTCCGCAAAGCGCCCCAACGTGCCAGGCAGCCGGTAGAGCCTCGCTGAAGGCTGGTTCTCACCCTGGTCTCTGGCCCCCCCATGCATTCAAGAGTCTGACTGAACCCTGGGACTCCCGGAGTCCTGGGTGCGGGTGCAAAGAGCAGTGACCGACGAAGGCAGGAATGAATGGGGCGAGCCCGGCAGTGCCCGGCGAGTGGAGGAGACGTTTTCTGGGTCTGCTCAGGTGGGTTTCCACCACCCACTCAGTCCGCTTTCTCCTCCACTCACCTTCCGCCTTGGGGCCTTTGCCTGAACAAGGCAGAATTTTTCTTCTTTCCCTCCCTGCCTGGCTAAGTCCGGCCGGACGTTTTTATCTCGGGTCCAGGGTCACTTTTTTGGTGACTCTCCCTTCAGCGCTGCCCCCGCCCCCCACTGCCCCCACACCCAGCTCAGGGGCAGGGTGCAGTCTCAAGTCATAGCCCAAAGTCCTTTGAAGTAGCAACTTCTCATTTCTCTGTGGGGTACTTTCTGTAGTTGATGTCCACTCGGCCGTGGACCCTGTGGGAGCAAGGCTGGGGCAGTTTTTGTGTCCCCCGAGCTCAGCACCGAGCCCCGCACAGAATGGGCTGCTTGGAGAAATGCTTGCAAAACCAGGCTCCTGGTTGGTACGCATCTGCACCCCAGTCCGTCGTCTCTGCCTATCCAGTGCCCTGTCCCCGTGGCCCAGGGGCACTGGGCCCAGCCAGCGTCCCGCCTGTGAGTGCTGCAGGGTGTGTGTGGGGGGCTGCTCTAAGTGGCCCACAAGGCATACCTCGGTCACAATGGAGTCCCTGGCGCTGACATCGTAGACCCAGCCGTCCCTGCACGGCTCGGTGGCCCCCCAGGTGTCGTTGGGCAGGCTGGCATTGGGCGGATGCACAAAACGGAGGCACGACTCCGGTTTCCCATTCAGGCCCCTGGGGAGTACCCAGGGCCCCGCAGAGGCGTTGGGGGGTGGGCGGCAGTGGTGGGCAGGGGTGCTCGCCGTGAAGATCTGCAGCAGGTTGTGGTTGGCCAGGCCGAGGACCGGGAGGCCCAGCAGGACCATGATGAGGAACTGGAAGGGGCCCTTGCTGTTCACGCTGTCCACGATCTGGGAGAAGGTCATGATGCCGAGCAAGAGGAGCCAGAGCTGCGGGCAAGGCACCGGGACGGGGAGAGGCGTGTGTGTGTGTGTGTGTGTGTGTGTGTGATGGGTGTGCACGTGGGGTGGCGTGCCAAGGTGTACCTGAACACTCGTGTGTGGGACGTTGTGTGCATGTCGATGCATAAGGGTGTGGGGCTCGGTTGCGTGTGCACACAGATCTACAAGTGGCTGCAGGAGGAGGGACCCAACTGCGTGTACAGAGGAGGGGTCTCTGGTGTGTGTCCATGGCGGGTCTGCAGGGGGAGTATGTTTAGGCTGGAGCTTGAGGGCACAGTGGTGTGAGCTTGGGCATGTGGTTGTGTGTGTGTGTGTGGGCTTGGGGTGCGAGTCCGTGTGCGCTCAGCCAGGCTGGTTGCAGTGTGGGTCACACGGCTGGGACCGAGGGCCTACTCTCAAACAGGACGGATAGTGGGCGTGGGCAGGGGAGGTCCTGGTTGCCAGAGCAGACATACATGGTTACCTCAGCTCACCTGCTGGGAAAGTCCTCCCCAAACTCGGAGCCTCCTGGCTTTTGACCTCCCCTGGGGTGAGTCCCACTCCACTGGGGTAGCAGAAAGGGCCCAGGCAGGTCCCAGAGGGCCTGAGGGACTTGGCCAGTCACAGCAAGACGCAGGGTCCAGCCTTTGGAGGCCTAGTCCCCGGGGGGCCGGGTGGGCCTGGGGGCCTCCGCCCTTCCTCACCTGGTGGCCGGGCCTGGCTGCCTTCGGTTGGGCTGGTGGATGTGGCTGGAGCCGCACTCGGTCCCAGGGCCAGCAGCTGCTCGTTCGGCTCAGCTCCTTCGAGCTGTGTTTGTGTCGTCCCCAGGGGGGCTTATATAAGGCGTAAGCTGTTCCCTGGGGTAATGTTTGACTTTCTTTTAAGGATTAATGGCCCTCCCCGGCAGGGAGAGTGGTAGACCCAACAACTGGAGCTTCCCTCAAAGGGCTGCCTCAGCAAAGACGGGGCTGCCCGTGTGGTCGAGCCTGGGGGCTGCTGGCTGGCCTGGGGCAGGCTCGCCTGTGGAAGGAAGGGTCTGGGAGGGGGTCATCTCTGAGGACGGAAGAGTTGACAATAGCCTGGGAGTGGAAGGGCTGCCCAGGAAGAAATAGTCGCCTGCACCTGTTCCCAAGGGCTCAGGGCTGTCATCTCCTGGGGACCCCTGTCTGCATCTCAGACCCCAGAGACTCAGCTGAAGCCCCCTCCTAGCCCACGCTCCTCGGACAGGCTCCTCTCCAGACCGGCCACGTCCCACCGTGGGCAAATCACAGCCTCTGTTGTTTTGTATTGTTGTTTCTCTGAATATTATTTTAATTATATAATACTGTGTTTCATGCATACACTATAGGAAATACAAACAAGCCAACCAAACAAAACAGCCAGTCCCATGAGGAGCCAACTCCGGTGTTCCGATGGATGTCCTTCCAGCCCCTTCCACATACGGGAGCCTCACAGCGGCCCCGTCGCCATGCTGGCGCCATAAATTTGGAAATGAGCACAAAGAGGTCGAGTAACTGGCCCCCAGCCCCCCAGCCAGGAGGTGGCATGGCAGATGTCGTGTGGCCCTAAGCCCCTTCTGTCCCTGGAAGCCGACACTCTCTAAAAAGTCTGGGGACCCTGTACTGTCCCCCTCAGCCCTCGTCCGGTTTCACCTTCCACAGCCCTGCCACTGACTGCTTTGCACCTCCAGAGATTTCTGGGAGGTGCCCCACCCCACCTGCTCTGCGAGCCAAGGTGGAGCCCACCCAGGGACCCCCTTCCATTCTCCTCCTTGGCCCCCTTCTCCACCAAGGCAACATCCAGCTCCCCCAGCTCCAGCTATGCCCCTCCTCCCCCTAAGCCTCCTCCCGCTCTCCCTCCACCCGCACCCCAGGGCAGGGTCGGCCCCGCCTCTGGGCCCCCACCTGGGCCCAGCGGTGATTGATGTTCTCTAAGTGGCCCCAGGCAGAGCGAGATCCGGAGTCATCAAAGAAAGATTAAATTACGCTCCAAGGCAGCCAAAGGGTTGTTTTAGGAAGGTTTTCAACTGTGAGGCTGGTGGGAAGCTGGGCCTTTGCCGAGCACCCCGTGTCCTGGGCTTTCACCCTCTGCGAGACTTTCAGGTCCCTAATTGGGCCTGGGCTGCCCCTCTGTTCCTAGTGGAATGCCGTCTGAGAGGTGCCCTGTGGCTTCCCACCAAGGCTGCGGGAGCAGAGCCACGTCACCACGGGGGAGTTCACGCTGCCCAGGGAGGGCAGTGGGTGTGCTTGGGCTCGTGGCATATGAACTGAGGTTGTCTACTGATCGGCCCTGGGGGTCGGGGCCAGGCACTTGCTGTATGACCTTGGGCAGATCCCCTCCTGGGCCTCTTGCTCCTCCTCTTCGTTCGTTAAGTGGCTGGAAGAAAAGCCCACCAGAAATCTTTTATTGAAACAATATATTGGGTTCATAAGATCAATATATAGATACTAGAGGAGGTGGATTGGCTAAAGTAGGGGAGGGGTGGAGAGAAAGTAGCCCCCCCAACAACCCTAAGCCCCCTCCCCCCAGCTCATCCTTGCCGGTGGCATCTTCTCCCCAGGCCTCCTTGCCTGCAGTACCTCCATTACGCCCGAGGGCCCAGCCTGGCCTCCGTGCTGTGGTCCTAAACTCCATATGAGGAAGTGAACTGTTTGTTTGTTTTTTTAAAAAAAGAAATGATGCATTTGGGAAATCGCGTGTGCCCAATGCATGTTTAATTTGGGACGTGGTCATCGATTTTCTTCCTCCCTCCCTCTCTCCCTCCTTTCTTTCAGCCCCTCCTTCCTTTCTTTTCTCTCCTCTTTTCACCTTTTGTCTGAACTCTTTCAGAGTTTCCTTTAAGCTGAACTGCATTCGGTAAGCTTCCCCTGTTTGCGGCCGAGTCCCTGCACTGGCGGGTGTTTGGGGCTGAAGGGCCCACGGAGCCATCCAGTCCAATATCCTCACCTTCCGTGCAGGGCGGCTGGAGTTCAGTGAGGGGGGAGCACAGGGCCGACTCCCAGCTGCCTTTGTATTGGGTCGGCCAAGAAGTCCGTTCAGTTTTTGTTTCCCGTAGAATAAAAGACACGTTCTTCATTTTCACCAATAACTTTACCGATTTGGATATTTTCAGTGTGTCAGCCATCTCCTGTGTGGTATGACGTTGATTATCCCGAATTAATGTCTCGATTTGATCTGTCCACCTCAGCTGGCCTGCCTGACCATGGAGCTTGGTCCAGCGAGAGGTCCCCAGCACGAAAACCTCTCACACATTCGACCGGTCACAGCACCTTCTGCGCACACCGCACAAATTGGGGTTTTTTTTTTTGCACTTCAGTTGCATTTTTACCTTTCTTGACATAATAAAGCATAATATGCTGAAAATGTTGTGTATTTTCTTCCACTTGAATATTAAAATGGCTACACAAAAAGTTCACCAATTTTGACAAGGTTTTTTTAATGAGCGCTGATACGACAGCTGTCACAATACAGTCCAACAACATTGTTTCAAATAAAGTTGAAGACAGCTCCACGCTGCTCAGAGCCATCTGACGGAACCACACGGACTCTGTGGCCAGCCTGCTGCCTGCGCACCTGCGGTCCTTCTAAGTCTGGATTCGCTGAGGGGCTGCGACGAGTCAAGCAGGGAACTCTTACTCCCCGGGAGCAGTGGGGGCTCTGGGTGTCCGGGCCAGTTATAGAGACCACACTGACCTCTCTGTGGGCCGCCACCCTCCTGCCCACTCAGCTGTTCACCTGTTCATTTCTCCATCTATCGGGCCGCCGGTCTCATCCTGGATGTGCCTAAGGGCCCCGGCTCAGCGCTGTGCTCCACCCTCCCTGCCTTCTGTCAGGAAAGATGGAGGCCCAGAGACAGTCCCGGCACAAAGGAGACTCACCTGAATGCCGCAGGGGAGATCCGCACAGTTCCAGCCGGCTCAGGAGAGCAGGGAGTGACCAGGTGTGGGGGGGGGCAAATCAGGGTCAATGGTGTGTAGACACTGGGCATTGATAACTGGGGGTGACCACGGGGTGGAATTGGAGGAAGAACCTGTAGACCCAGGTGTGTGTGTGTGGGGCATGGTGGGAAAGTGGGAGCTAGACAGGACGACACACGTGGAGGCAACGTCTCTTCCCAGCAGGGCGGTGACCCAGGTCTCGGGCTGGGCTTCTCGGCCTCCCGGAGGGTGGGGGCAGGGAAGCGGCCCTACTGCCCAGGCATGCTCAGTGGCGCCTGCACGCACTTCCAGCCGAATCTTGGTCTCTCGACCCTCATCCAGGTCCCAACCCTCTGAGAGGGCCATCTGAACCGTCCGGGGTCTCTGCTGCCCCTGCCTGCTCACCACCCCGTCCTGGGGTCAAGGCAGATGCTGTAGCCCGTGTGGCCCCCGCCTGCTGCTCAGACCGCAGTCCCGGGTGGGGCCGGGCAGGCGGTCAGTAAGCCCCCAACAGCCATTCCCCCTGGTGGCCAGGCTGACGCCTGAAGACTTTATTCCTGGTTTAGGGACCCCACATTCAGCCTCTGTCCTGGGGCGGCTCCAACAGGACAGATGACCTGTGTGGGTGGCTTCAGGCTGCACCTGAGCAAGGGATTGGCCTCTGCCCTCAATCCCTAGCCACCCCCCCCCCCCATGGGCTGATTCGGAAATTCCCTCCCCGGGGAACAAGGCGGTCCGGTCGGGGAAGAGGGGCTCCGCCGGCTGGAGGTGAATCTCGACTCCACCACCTGCTAGTTATGTGGCCTCAGTTTCCCCACTTACAACATGGGGATTATTACCTACTTCACAATACTGTTGGGATTTTAAATAAAGTATGTAAAGCCCTGAACACAGTGCCAAACACATGGTAGTTGGGGCCCAGGCCTCCGGAAGGCTGAGCAGCCCCAAAAGAAGAGGAAGAGAAGGTTGCTGGAGAAGAGAGGGCAGGAGGGGTGCCGTAGGGCTCCGGGGCCACGGGCGAGCAGGGCTCCGAGGTGGGTGCGTGGGCTCTTGAGGCTGTCCTTGGGCACTTGGACTATGTCCAGGCCCAGCCAATCACTGCAGAACCAGGTGTCAACTGAGGTGTCACCCCAGGTGGAAAAGGGACCGTTGGGGCAGGACCCAGGACAACCGAGGGACTCCGCTGTTAGCAACGGGAGCCGGAACGGTGCTCCCACGCAGCTTTGAGGGATTGGCAGGGAGAGTCGCCCCCTGCTGGTGCAGAGCAGGAACTGTATCTCTTGCCTGGGCAGAGAGGGCGAGTTTTGGAGCCCTCGGGCCACCTGAGCCCAGCACAGCGAACGGATTTCCGTGGATCCGGAAACCCCCGCGCACTGACAACTGCCATGAGAACCTCGGGCTGACTGTCCTAGCTGCAGGCTGCTGGGACAGATGCCACTGCCCATCAGATGCCTTAGACCAGGGTTGGCGCACTCAAACGTTCGCAGGGCCAGGTGATGTGTCAGAGAGTGCTGGACTAGGTGTGGGCACCAGTGAGTGGCGGGTCCGCGGAGAAGCGCGGGGCGCCCGTCCAGTCTGCAGGGGGCAGCTGGCCGCTCAGCACCAGCTGGCGTTGCCATGGGGATATGCAGGCTCGGGGTTGCCAGATCCTCAGATATTTTAAAAATAGCTTGAAATCTGGACTCTGTGAAATTTTCCAATTGTGTAGGCGACCCTCCTCCCACCTTCTGGAATCCCTTTGTCTGTTCTGCTTCTTCCTTCTCGAGGAGCCACGAACTCCAGCAAGTGATTCCTTGTAGAAGAAGGTAGGACTCCCTTGGGTTTGTCCTGGCCCTGCCTGCTTGCCGGACCTCAGGGTTTGGTGAGCAGGGCCTTCGAAGTC